TAAATTAAAATTATAAAAAATACTTACAGTCTTGGTATATCAACCATGATTTTGGATATGCCTGGTCATAATCTGGATTCTTTTTGTGGTTCAGTTTGGCGTATCTCAAACTTGCTTGCGTAAGACCACCACGTATACCTAAAATAAATCATATATTATTAAATAATAACATTATATTATAAAATATTATATCATTACYKTTTTCGATYATCAKCAACATATCATAGTCATGAAGTAGTTCGAGCTTCATTGAAGTATGTTTTAACATCGCATCAAAAGAGAACCCTGTACAAGTGTAGTAGAATGCTGGATCTAGGGCGTATGTTGCTAAACAAAGGTCTCGGAAGTTCTCAAACACATCAGCTAACAGCATTATGTCGATTTTAAGATATATGTCCGAATATTCTCCCAAGTTTTTGCATTTGAAATGGTTCCATACTGAGATTGCATGTTCGTATTCACCATCGCATATATGTTCTTCAGTCAACGTACTATAAAAATCCGATTTCTTCGGTAAATGGGTCTCCTCCAACTTGCTCCAACTATTGGTAAACTCGTAAGGATATACATCTTTACGTGTGATAAGGTTCATATMATTATGTTTGAATGCTTTTGTGGTTTCTCTGAACTTCTCAAACTCGGACGTTATTAAATKTTTGGCTAACGTCGATAAGCTGGAGGCCATAAATCTAAATGTATCTATAAATCTTATTGTGAAAGAGTTGTTGATATATATCGAAAACGAAATAAATTTCTYTTCGCTGTTTGGTATTACAGAAATTGAGCTCGTGTCATATCCAAGCTCAGTTACCAAAAAGTGAGCTTCATAGTTGGTTAAATTGTGAAAAACCGGTAAAAAATTTGGTTGTTGAAGCTTGAGATTACAAGAGTTACATAAAGTTTTTCTAAATTTTCCTGATAGATGGCAATGATCAGCTACTTTATGGTTTTCTTTAGAAAATCCCTTTTTGCATAAATTACTTACATAATTCACGTGTGCATCGCTGTTCCGGTGTCATATAATTGGCGTGTTGGTTTTGAGCAGTTTGTCTATTTTTTCTGCTATTTCCACAATACTTTGTACAAAATGTTTTGCTACCTCTTTATTTTCATTACTTCCG